CATGTACCCTTAAGCCTTCTAACCCTACAGGCTAAGGCATGAAGCCTTTTCGAAAGCCTGAAGGAGCAGGCAGGAGATAAGTGCGGCCAAACCTTCACAGCAAGTCATGGGTGGTTCCAAAGGTTTAAAAACCGCTACAGTTTGCATAGTGTAAAGGTGAGTGGAGAGGCAGCAAGTGCTGATGTGAGTGCTGCCGAAGCTGTCAAGGAGGAGCTAGATCGTGTCATCGTGGAGGGAAATTATTTGCCTGAGCAAATATTTAATGTGGATGAAACTGGCTTATTATGGAAGCGCATGCCAGAACGGACATACATCCACAAAGAGGCGAAAACAATGTCGGGATTCAAGGACCGAATCACACTTCTGTTGGGGGGAATGTAGCTGGTTTCAAGATATAGCCCTTCATGATATATCATTCAGAGAACCCAAGGGCTTTTAAACATGTCAGCAAGCACATACTGCCAGTGTTATATCTCAGTAATAAGAAAGCATGGATGACCCTAACAGTTTGAGGATTGGTTCCTGACTTGTTTCATTCCAAGAGCCAAGGAGTATTGTCTGCAACAAGGGATTGCATTCAAGATTTTGTTAATTTTGGATAATGTTCCGGGACACCCACCACACCTGGACGACATGCACCCTGATGTTAAGGTAGTCTACCTTCTACCTAATACTACCTCTATCATCCAACCCATGGATCAAGGTGCTAATGCTGCTTTTAAAGCAAATTATTTACGTACAACCTTCGCTCAGGCTATTGCTGCTACTGAAGGTGAGAAAACGCTCAGAGAGTTTTGGAAGGACTACAACATTTTGAAATGTATAAAGAACATAGCTAAAGCATGGGATGAGGTTAAAGGTCAGTGCATGAATGGAATATGGAAGAAAGTCCTGAAAAGATTTGTGAACAGTTTCAGAGGATTTAATGAAGACGAAGTAATTTCTGCAATTAATAACAAGATAGTGGAGTTGGGTAAGCAGCTAGAGTTAGAAATTGATAATGAAGATGTTGAGCAGTTGGTTGAAAGTGGAGCAGAAGAGCTAAGTAACGAGGATCTTATTGAACTGGAAGCACAGAAAATTGCAGAGGAAGAAGAGAGTCAAAATGTAGAAGAACCTGCACCCCCCAAAAATTTTTCAGTGAAACAAATGGCAGAGGCATTTGCTGCAATTAATAAGGGGATGCAAATGTTTGACAGAAACACAGAATGGATCAAAATGTTGAGCGTTTTGCAAAAGTTAACAGAATGATCCAAGGTGCACTTGCTTGCTACAGAGAGATTTACAATGAAATGAAAAAGCAAACTGTGCAGTCTAAATTGGACATCTATTTTAAGAAGTCCCCCATTGCTGTCTCCTCACGCCCCACCAGTGCAGCCTCTTCACACCCTAAAGATGATCCAATACCTTCAACAAGCAAGTTTCCCCTGTATGTTAGCCTGTCTGAAGAAAGCGACATTGATGACCCACCCAGCCCTGTCTCCTCCTCTGCTTCATCCAGTTAATGTAGTCTCCATGTATAATTAGAAAATTATGGGGGCCCCATGTGCATTCAGCTGACTACAGTACATTAAAGGTATGTGCACAGTAACACTGTATTCATTCTTCATTATTGATTACTTTTACTGTACTGTATTTCATTTTAGATTTTCTATGTATTATTTTTTACATTTTCGACTTTCGACCAATTCGACTTACGACCTGGATTTGGGTCCCTAACCCCGTCGTAAGTCGGGGAGCAGCTGTATTTATCACCACTTAATACTATTGTAGTGTATTTATCACCACTTAAAAAGTAATATTGTAGTGTATTTATCACCACTTAATAAATACTATTGTACTGTAGTGTATTTATCATCACTTAATAAGAAATATTGCAGTGCAAAGTATTAATGCATCTGCATATACCCTGGTTTATTCATTAATCATTTGTTTAAGTCAGCGGTTCTTAACCGGGGAGGGGAGGGGGGGGCTGAGTAATTTCCAGGGTGGGGCACGAACCCAGAGCAAAAATAAGTAATGGCTTTAACAGGTGTGTGTATGTCCTTACTTGGATTTCTGCTCCCCACAGATACTTCAAAAAGTCGTAAATGGTATCTACGTCAATCAAAGTGTAAAATTCCACTAAAAGTGACTGAATTAAGGTAGTAATAGTGTCGGGAACCGTACGTCAAGCTGTTCGGATTCCGACGATGTTTGGATCTACGTATCTTTGTGAGGCTGCATTTTCTCCACTGGTTTGCTGTCAAGACCAAATACAGAAACAAGCTGAACGTTGAAGGGGACTTGCGCTGTTATCTCTCTGGCACAAGGCACGTATTCAGGATCTGGCAGCTCAGAAGCAGTGTCAAAAATCTCACTAAATGTGTTCTCACTAAATATGTTGTGTACCTGTATTAACGAGTTGCTTATACAGACTCTTTTGAATAATCAAAGTTATTACAGTAACGAATGAAAAACTAGTTTCTCAATTTTCCTATTTAATTCAAGAGGAAATTGCTTTAGAATTTTATATGAAGGAAGGAGGGGGATGTGGAGATGAGGACCAGCTGCTATAGGGGGCGCGACCCTAAAAAGGTAAAGAACCAATGGTCTAAGTGTACAAGTAGCCAAATTGAGCCATCATATAACACTCAAAGGTAGTAAATAACGTTGTTAGGAAGGTATCTTCATATCAAATACTATACAGTGTGTTATAGTGACCCCTGTTGTAAGCTGGTCTACTGAAAGCTCTCACACGAACACATCTTGAGTAAACAACCTTCGAATACAGCTTATCCTTTACTTTTTCAAGTCATATTACAAATTACATACAGTATGTATTTTTTCTTTATTATTGAAGATGTTATATTAATCATGATGAACCATAAACCATAAGAGGCCAATCATATGAGAATATAATACTGAATCAATAAATAAATAAACCTGATGAATGCGGCAACACCTGATCAGCCCCAACCTGCTTACAAACTCAAGAGTCTTAGTTCTCAGTAGGCCTATAGCAAATCTGATTAGACCACTGTACAGTATTCAGTGAGTAAGTGATGTTCTTTTCATAAGATTTTTTTTATTAAACTTCCCTATTTCTTATAACATGCACTTAATTTTTATATTTAGTATTTCTGGTGACCAGAGTATCTCAAAGTACGAAAAAAAGCAAATTCCGATATATTGAAGTCCGATTTATCGAGGTTTTACTTTTCTTTATTTACAAGCCACATTATAGTATTGTAATGATTATTCCACAACTTTTATAGTTTCACTACAAGTAACAATGGCAACATGTTATCTCACAGGCACCTCATCCCCAGTTTTTCCCCCTTCCCAGTGAGTCAAACTACAGCTGAAGTGAATTTTGATCTAATGTTAATTATTACAGTACATGTTCCTGTAGGCATGTCCAGGTATCCGAACCATCATTGGTCCCGATGAGTTCAGATAAATGGAATTGCACTGAACATTGCGCAAGATGATTCATGGCCAGGCAGATCCACTGACATACACAGGTCTTACTTCTGCCTCTGGATACCACTACAAATGGGTTTTGTTACACAATCCCATTTTCTTATACAGCATTACCCCGCTTTACACGGTTTCACTTTCCGCGATTTCTCGATTTCTCATTTAAGCGGTACCTTGCCAGAACCGGACTTTCACTTTCCTTCCGCAGTGCATCTACTCATATACAAGGTGAAGTAAAATTTTTTTTATTTTTTTTTATTTAGCTCATAAAATTCATACAAATTACCCTGCCAGAATATAATTTACATTGCTGGAATTCTTACAATATGATGATCATTTTGAATATAAACATCATGGATTTTGCATTAGACATACAAATTTTAGATCTAATGTAATAATTTGGTTTACACAAAGCAAATAGTTTATCTTTTGTGCAAAATATATGAAGTTTACATTCAAAATATTCCCTGACCTGCAAGGAATCCAGAAATGTCAATTATATTATCCTAACTTTAGTCTGAGGTATTATTTATTACTAAACGTTAAAATCTAGTGGTTTCACCCAAACATTTCTCAGAGAGGTAGGAGCTAGTGAGCTGGGAAGAGAGGGGGGGATTTGAGTCCATTATTTGAATGGACATTAACCTGGCGACTGTATTTCTTTTAAATATTAATTGTGTGAGCATACCATCATAAAATTTAGATGTTATTTTTACTACAACATAGGTATTGTGTCGGAAAAAGTGGAGTTTGGGGGTCGGGCCAGTCTCTATTGGAATTAATCCCATATGTTCTGTTGTTCGCTTTACGCGGTTTTCACTTTCCGCGGTACTCTGTGGGTTCACTTGACCACGTAAACCCGTAAATCGGGGTACTACTGTATTGTGATTTTTCTTCTAAGACAAGTTGATGATCAAAATTTATTTTCCTTCCTTCAATCTGGGATTTCAAGTTAATTAATGTTACTGATATATTTAAGTTCAATTTGTAATGCACATTTTGCTACAACAACTAGCAATAGCCAATAGGTGACAGAGAGATAACCTTCCTGAATCAGTGTGTCATGGGATGTCAGTTGTACAGTAAGTGTAAGTGACGAAGTTAGCGGTCATTCATCCTTTAGATAAAAGAAGTTATATTATGCAAAATAGCTGTATAGTGGTCTAGACTGGATGTTTTGATGTATGATAAAACAACCCTTCCCCCCCCAAAACAAAGCATTAAAATAAAAGTTCCAGTTCCAACTGGTTATTTTGTAATGGCTATGGCCAGAACTGGAAATATGAAAAAAAAAAGGGGTAATGGTGTACCTGTACCAGATACCCTGCAACCCTCAGAGAAAAGGTTTGCAAGGATATTTATATACTGTATTGTATTAAAAAAATAAAATAAAGATATAGTATTGTGTGGATGGCTATTTCTTAACATATTCTGCCATAAAGCACAAAGCTCACTCAAATAAAAAAGCAATATAACTTATTATGTTTGGAGTAAAAATACCATATATAAACATGAAATACACTTGAAGCAATCATTACCTTTAGGTTTTTCCTCAGCTTCATCGGAGATTGCTGGAAGAATATGTAATAACCTTCCTTTGAAAGTTGTTCCGTCTAATTCAGTCATCGCTCTAACTGCATCATTAGGGAACAGATAAGTCACTGTTGCAAAACCTTTGGGTCGCCGGGTGATCTTACAGATGGGAAGATTGATCTCCACAACTTCTCCTAATGAAATATATATGGAATATAAACAATGAGTCATGGTACCTTAGAATTTAGGGTCTTGAACTTAAAAGTATATACAGTGGTCCCTCGGTTAACGAATGGTTCGATTAACGAATTAGCTCACATAAGGATCTTCAATTCGGTTAACGAACAAAACTTCGATTAACGAAGTCCTTACGAACATCACGTTTTGTTGTGAGCATCAGCTGATGGGCTAGTCCGCCAATACAGTAATCTATTCTATGTTTACATTCGTTTCCAGTGGAGTAAATATCAAGAAGGTTGTGCTCTTGAATATTTTTGCATTTTCTATATTAAAATTATTGGTCATTCTAAAATTGGCCATCCAAGCTCTGTCTTTATAAAGTTTTTCAACTAATATTTTTGGCTTGATTATGTAACTTTATTCATTTATTGAAACTAATTTACAGGCACACACTGTCCTAAGGGCAAAGCTGTACTGTACATGTAATCAAAATAATGTACAGTGGTCCCTCGGTTAACGAACACAATTCGTTCCAGAAGGTCGTTCGTTAACCGAAAATTTTGTTAACCGAAACCATTGTTTCAATGGGATTTTGGGTAATTGGTTCCAGCTCACCGAAAATTACATACAAACTAAAAATAAATGCAGTAAAGTACACTTACTTTGAGGTGTGCATGTAGAAGGTTCCTGGATGATGATGATGGGAATTAGAAGTGGGGGTGGAGGAGAAGGGAGAAGAAAAGGCAGTGGGGGTGGAAGAGAAGTCACCCCATGCTTCATGCAGCCATTTCACCCATAAAATTTTAGTTCACTTCGTGTAATTCAAGATTACTTTCTTTAAATCAACACTGCACTGCATTTATATTGTCAATATGTAAAATAAACTTCAGAATGACCAATAATTGTACTGTAAAAATGTAAAAATAGTTTATGTTCAAGAGAGTCTCAAGCAAGATGATTCCTCCACTGAGCAGGGACACACACTGACGCCATTTTGGGTGAGTCAAGTGGCTGTTTGGCACGCTAAAAACTAGTTCCCTGTACTTCAATATGTTAAATAATTGTTAAAATGACTAAAAACTTTAATATAAGACTTGGAAAATTATTGAATAGTACAACCTTCTTGATAATTTACTCAAATGGTAACGAATTTAAGCCCTAAAACCAATTACTATATTGGCGGACTAATACTACAGCTGGTGAGCAGGCAAAAGCAGGCAGAAACATGTTGGGAAAAATTCGTAAGGAATTCGTTAACCAAAATTTTTTCGTTAACCGAAGTGAAGAATCTTATGGAAGGTAATTCGTTAACCGAGGCGTTCGTTAACCGAGGGATCACTGTACAAAATGATTACCGTACTAGAATTTTTGTCTAGTGCAAACTATCGCATGTTTACATTCAAATTAATCACTATCTTATAAGAATTCCATCAATGTAAATTATATTCTCCCAGGTCACTTCTATGACATTTTATAAGCAATAAACAAAAACTCAATCTAAAGGACATAAATACACAAATAAATACTTCACTAGACCTTCGGTGCTAACTGTCAAACATGTCACTGTCACCCCTGCCCCCCCCCACCAGCAAGGGTTTGGTGGTTATACAGTAGGCTTACAGTTTTTATCTTATATACAGTAATATCACAGACTAAAGTTAGGAGAATATAACTTGCATTGCTGGAGTCCTTGCAAGGCAGTGAATAATTTGAATATAAACGTCATATATTTTGCACGAGACAAAAATTTTAGTACAATAGTTTAGTACATTTTAGTAATGTACAGTTTCTCAACTGTATTTTTGGGTAGATTTACATAAATTTCTTCATTTATTTTAATTCATTTACATGCACACGCCATACTAAAAGAAATGTTAAAGAAATAAGTGACCTAAGTGCAAACCTGTACTGTACATGTACTAAATGATTACGGGACCAAAATTTTTTATGACAAGTGCAAATTATAGCTTGTTTATATTCAAATTAAGCACTAGCTTACAGAAATCCCAGCAATGTAAATTATATTCTCACCAGTCATTTCACTGGTATTTTATAATAGAAAAGCTTAGTCACTCTTAAGGACTGATAAATAAACACACATTAGAACTTCGGCGCCAACTATCAAACCTATCACCTCACCTCCCCCACGCTCCCTCCCTCCCTCTCCCCCATCTGCCCAGCCAGGGTTTTCGACTTACAGTTTTAATCTTATATAATGTCACAGACTAAAGTTAGGAGAATAAAATTTGCATTGCTGGAATCCTTGCAAGACAGCGAATGATTTGAATATAAACATCATATATTTTGCACAAGAGATAAAAATTAGTCACCTGTATCACATTACAGTAGTGATTTAAGAGTTCTAGTGTATATGTACGTACAGATATATATATATATATATATACAGTGATTTAAGGGCCATTTAGGGGAATTTTAGGAGTGTTTCTGACTTTATGCATTTTTGGCTTTACTTTGTATGTCCTTTTCTGTGAGCTGGAACCAATTACGCAATATCCCATTGAAATAATGGATTTGGTTAACGAACGACTCTGTGGAACGAATTGTGTTTGTTAACCAAGGGACCACTATACCTAAATGGAATGATAAAAATGCTGCACCTATTTTTTGGGTATAAAATGGCTTCCATATCACACTGACCTTATCTCAAATGTACACATTGCACTTGCAAAGAGATGTCTAACTGGAGGGTTATATGCCTGAATAAAAAAACATGGTGTTGTAAGAAATTGCATCACACAAACGCTTAAGAACATCAAAATACAGAAGGAACTTGTTTATCCAAATCTTTAATAAAGACAAACTCCGAATACTGTATCTAAAGAAAAAAATCACTAAATCTTATCATTCAGTTATTATCCGATAGTCCATCCATCATCCAAAAGAGAAGCTGTACTTTCACAAGGAGGCACTCAGACAACAACACTGTCATTGGTAATAACTCGCCCTTGTCACTGATTACAAGTACTGTTCATGTTTGCATCCTTCCTAATAACTTTTCAATACAGTGGTCCCTCGGTTAACGAACACAATTCGTTCCAGAAGGTCGTTCGTTAACCGAAACCATTGTTTCAAGGATTTTGGGTAATTGGTTCCAGCTCACCGAAAATTACATACAAAGTAAAGCCAAAAATGCATAAAGTCAGAAACACTCCTAAAATTCCCCTAAATCGCCCTTAAATCACTGTACAGTATATATATACATACATATACACTAGAAATCACCCCATGCTTCATGCCGTCATTTCACCTATAAAATTTTAAGTTCACTTGGTGTAATTCAAGATTATTTTCTTTAAATCAACACTGCACTGCACTATATATTGTCAATATGTAAAATAAATTTCAGAATGACCAATAATTGTACTGTAAAAACGTAAAAATAGTTTATGTTCAAGAGAGCCACAAGCAAGATGTTACCTCCACTGGCCAGAAATACAAACTGACGCCTTTGTGGGTGAGTCAAGTGGCTGATTGGCGCACCAAAAACTAGTTTCCTGTACTGCAATTATGTTAAATAAGTGTTAAAATGACTAAAATTTTAATCTAAAACTTGGAAAATTATTGAATAGTACAACCTTCTTGATATTTACTCAAATGGGAACGAATTTAAGCCCTATAACCGATTACTGTATTGGCGCACTAATATTCCAGCTGGTGAGCAAGCGAAAACATGTTGACATAATTTCGTAAGAATTTCATTAACCGAATTGAAGATTCGTATGGAAGGTAATTCGTTAACCGAAATTTCGTTAACCAAGGCGTTCGTTAACCGAGGGATCACTGTACTGTACTGTATTGTATTACATCTCTGATCCTAAGCGCTCTTCCTAACCTATTACAGATGCTGGTGAATAAAGTTATAATATCAGCATAAAACCCACTACTGTACAACATTTACCAACAATGATGGCCTCCTGTACACCTGACTTAAGAAGCTATTGTGTATTTTATGTGATGGACTTGTAAATTCCAGCCTCTCATCAATATTTAAATCAACTGTATTACATCACATATAAATTATTACCATACTTCTTGAACAGCTCCTGCAGATGATCTTCAGTAACAGAGTACCACAAGTTCCGCACAAAGATCTTTCCAGATTCAGCTACAGGTTCAGCATGTTTTACTTTCTCCTCAGTGGTACTCCATGGTGCATTGTTTTGGGAACAAGCAGTTGTCTCCAAAGGTGTCTCATGCTTCAAAACATGTACCCGGACACCATCTGAAGAAACATTAAAGGCATGAAAGGAGTGTACAGTACAGTATAAAAAAATTCTGATAAATGCCTACCGGTAAACCTTTACTGAACTTGCTATAAATTTTAAATTAATCCAGATACAAGGTGATAAATTTATGACCTTCCTGAAACAAAATCAAGCATTATAGAATTACAACTGATAGAGAATTTCAATTAAAGTAAATAAGAGCCATTACTATACTGTCTTATATTCTGTAATGTGAAGGACAAATAAACAGATAGCATGAGAGTAACTACAGCTAACTACAAACCGATCAGGGATAATCAAAATAGTAGGATTTTTTAGTCAAATCTACAATTGAACCTTGGTATGTTGAACTAATCTATAGAAAGCAAGTCAAACAAAATCAGTTTTCTGATAAACCTGCTAATGTATCAGTCTATCAGTACATTGAAGAAAGCACATGGCCCAAGACACCAATGTGTGGAGACAAGCATGGATGGAAACTGGACAAGCATCTGACACACTGAATTCATGCCAACATAATATTCCGGTGAGCAGTGTTGCAGTGCTAATTTTTAAGCTACCGGAGCTGTCAAAATAATTTCTGTTTCCAAAACTGTATCTATTGATGCATATACAGTTTCTCCTCGACTTACGACAACCCAGACACACGACGGCCATGGTAGTATAAAATATTTTTCACATTACGTAATTTCGAGGTCCCGACAGTAGTGATCGCGCTGTGTACTGACAAAATTTTCGTTTGTAATTCCCTTTAAAATGGCTGGCAAGCGTAGAAGTAAGAGTTCTCGCGGTGCTGAGAAGAAAAAGAGACACCCATTTTAGAATTTCTATGTATTATTTTCACCTTTTCGACTTGCAACCTGGTCGTCGGGATGGAACCCCGTTGTAAGTCGAGGAGAGACTGCATATATATGTAATATTCAGAAATTTTGGTGTGATATTTAGAGACGTTAGAACGAAAATAACCGATCTGCCGAAACAGAAAGCATAAGTAGGCCAGGCTGAAAACACCCATGCCTCATGGGCGTAAAACCCTGCAGGCAATGCCATCAAGCGAGGTGAAAGCATTTTGAACTAGGCCTATAAAATGTACTTTATCGAATTAATGTAGACACAATTCATGAAGTTAAGGGACTATTATTAAATTTAAAGTTATTGTAGATCGTTTCTCAGTCTAAATATGTTACGTGTCCCAAAGAAATTATTAGTATACGCGAAAGATGACGTCATTGGGTTGGGCTAGGTGACCGCCTTGAGGCACATGGACGCTGACCCAGCCTCAGTAGCGCACAGGCGTTTGGCCCAAGCGGACGTCATCCACGCGTCTCTGCCAAGGAAAACAACCACGTGGCCTCGTCCCTTCCCGCACACGTTTCATCAGTGTTGCAAGTAAGTTTTATTTGATCTCAGACAGTGTTTAGATAGGGCAGAAAAGAAGTTAACAGTAGCTAACAGAGAGTTCTCTTGCAGGGTTTTGAGAACCCACTCGGTCGGTCAGAGAGTGATTGGTCACTGGTTAGCGGTTGTATAGCTGGGACGCACGAGGAGAACGGGTGTCCCTGACACCCAACAACGTGGGACCAGCGTTCGCACTTTTGGTCGGTGGACGTTCTGGGTCATCAAATCTCCCCACCTTGGTTCATACAACACCACATCTCTTCAATCAGTCACTGAAAACTCTTACTAACGGGAAAATAGAACCCCTCCCTCAGCTGGGCAGGGTTCACCTGCTGACAGTCACTCTCTTCCTGTCCATGAAGTACTGAGAGTTAACTGAGTGCAGCCTGAGTGAATGAAAGGTAACACACTGGGACCAGGAGTCTAGTGGGTACATAGAGACATTTATCTCCCCAGTATTGGGTGTATGTGATCGAATTAACAAAGTCCAGGTGTGTAATCAACGCTCCTCTTGGTTGATTGCACACGTGGGACGTAGGGGTTTTTCTTCAAAGTTGGTGAACGGCTGTAACACCTTAAAGTATGGGCCATTCTGAAATTTAGTTAACATATTGATAATATAGACAGTACAGTCGGCCCTTAACATACGCGGGTTTAACATACACGGATTTGCAAATACAGTGGTCCCTCGGTTAACGAACGCCTCGGTTAACGAAATTTCAGTTAACGAACTGCCTCCCATAAGATTCTTAAATTCGGTTAACGAACAAAAATTCGGTTAACGAATTTCTTACGAACCGACCTCAACATGTTTTCGCTTGCACTGGCCGGTCAACCAGCTTTAGTATTAGTCCGCCAATACATTAACCGGTTCTAGGGCATAAATTCCTTACTATTTTAGTAAATATCAAGAAGTTTATACAATTCAATAATTTTAAAAGTTTAATATTCAATTTTTAAGTCATTTTAACAATTATTGAACATAATTGAAGGTAAAGTGACTAGTTCAATGCGCGGCATCCAGCCTCTTACACAGCAAACAGGCGTTAGTCTCTCTCTGTTTTCACTGGAGGTAACATCTTGCTTGAGACTCTCTTCAACTAAACGCTTTTTTCTGTGTTTCCAAGCAAATTATTGGTCATTTTGAAATATATTTTACATATTGACAATATATAATGCAGTGCAGTGTTGATTTAAAGAAAATAATCTTGAAATACACCAAGAGAACTAAAATTTTATGGGTGAAATGGTGCCATGGGGTGACTTCTCTTCCACCCCAATGCCTTCTCTTCTTCCTTCTCCTCCACCCCCATTCTAATTCCCATCCATCATCATCATCATCATCATCCAGGAGCCTTCTACATACACACCTCAAACTAAGTGAACTTTTCTCCCATTTTTGTTGAATTTAGGCAATTTTCGGTGAGCTGGAACCAATTACCCAAAAACCCATTGAAACAATGGTTTCGGTTAACGAACAACCCGCTGGAACGGATTGTGTTCGTTAACCGAGAGACCACTGTACGCGGATTGCCGCCGGAGGAATATACATTCAAATCGCGAGCGACACCACACACTGCACACCGCCCACCACACCACACACACACATCGCCCGCCACGCCACCCTGCGTTCCCGCGCTCCCTCAGTCAGTCAGTCTCGCTGTAACCACGGTTGTGTTGACATCAGCATTGTAGTTACAAAAATATTACATTTCCGTGAATGTATTATATAAAGCACAGTATGAATAGAATATCACTAATATAACAGTATTTTAACCGAAAACTATTAAAAAAACAAGTAACATATCTTGAACACCGGAAGGTTAGGTAAAGTCTTTTGTTTTCACGTAGTTTATCCTAATTTACATTGAAATACATTACGTTTCAGCAAAACTGCTAATTATTTCTGAGATTATGGAAATGTAATATTTTTGCTTAAAATGACATACGTATTACAGTGGAAAGTGGGATAAAATCGTGACGAAAGCAATGAATTTCGCTTTCTTTCGTTCAAAAGATGTTACCGTAATCGCTTTTCGAATGGTTTTCAGTTAAAAACTGTTGTATTACAATAATATTCTATCCTAATTCACTTGTGATGCAACAGTTTTTTAAATGAAAACGGTTCGAAAAACACTTGTACCATCTAGCTGATATGGCAGAGCCCTGGTTGCAATCAGACCAGAAATTGTGGTGAAATCTTTTAAGAAATGTGGGATTTCGAATGCTCTTGATGGAACAGAAGACGACTTGTTGTGGGATTATGAGGCTAATGAGAGCGTGATTGAGGATGAAGATACTGATGATCCTATGGCTGATGATGGTGTTAATCCATATGACAATACTGTTGAAGGAGAGGACTGGGAGTAGCTGTTTGGTGCTGATGACAAGGAAAATGATTTTGATGGATTTTAATGAAAATATTCAGAAATATGGTATCGTAGTAACCATTCGAAAAGCGATTATGGTAAAATCTTTTGAACAACGAAAGAAAGCGAAAGTCATTGTTTTCATCATGATTTTATCCTACTTTCCACTGTAATACGTACGTCATTTCAGCAAAAATATTACATTTCCATATTTATTTCTGAGAATATATTCATTCAGTCACAGTTAAGGTTAAATATACTTGTGATGTAATATTTTAATGAAAATACCCGGTGTTTAGAAATACGGTATCGTAGTTTTCTTCTGTTTCAAACTTCATTAACAAAGATTGATGTTTCAAATGTAATGAACAAAAATTTATGTATCTATAAATAAACTTTAAAAAATGAATATTTTATGTTTTACATCGTCCTGTGCTACCATACCATGCATTTGGCTACTTTGGGCTTGCTGTGATGACGCAAGAGATCTGCCCTGGCAACTGTACCGACACTCACAGCTGATGGTGCTTTGTTTCCATTGTTTACTGGTAAATATTTTTCAACCTAACGAAACTATTACCCGTTTAGAGGTCGACCCCCAATTTTTTGCCAAAAAACTTGGTCTTAAAAACTCGAACTACACACAGGTATATACGGTAAATAAGGACATGGGGGGCCAGGGGTGCTTTTAGTGGGGGGGTCAGCAAAAATACACAGATTCTTAACATTCACAGGTATCTCCGTTACCTAACCCCCACGTATGTTAAGGGCCGACTGTACAGGGAACAGTTTTTGTGTGCCCATCAGCTGATTAAATCACCTAACAACGCTTCTCAGTTTAACTTTGTTTACAGTGAAGTGAACATCGATTTTGTTGATCTCTTGAATATTTTTGCATTTTTACATTAAAATTATTAGTCATTCTGAAATTTAGTTAACATATTGATAATATACAGTGCAGAAAATATTATGAAACATGAAAAAGGCATTTGAACCAATGCACTCTGTAAAGAATATGGCATGTCATCATCGACTGCCTCTACAATCAACTGTTTGATATGTAAACAAAGCTACCGGTAATACGACACACACCTCAAAGTAAGTTAAAATACAGTATTCTATTGTTTTTTATTTATTATTGTACAGTACAGTGGTCCCTCGGTTAATGAATGGTTCGGTTAACGAAATTTCGGTTAACGAATTACCTTCCATAAGAATCTTCAATTCGG